TCATAGTCATTATGAGGATTAAATGAATTAATGGATACAAAGCACTTAGAACAGAGCTTGGCACATGTTAAGCTCTCAGTAAATGGTAACTTATGATAGCTCATGGGCATCTCAAACTTAACATGCCTCAAGTGGAACTCCAATAGAACCCCGCCAATAGAACCTCCACCAATAGTGGAGGGAAAAAAAGTTCTGCTCCAGCCTTCCCCATCTCAGTAATTGCTGCAACTACCCACCCTTATGTTCAGTCCGGAAACCTAGGGATTGTCCCAATTCCTTCCTTTCTCTCATCATCTTCCTCTCCACCCATCCAATTCTTCATCAAATCCTATTAATTCTAACTCAAAATATATCTGAAACTCATTACCTCTGTCTACCTCTGCAGCCACCTCCCAGTCAAAAGTTGCCATCATGTCTCAACTGGACAACTAGAATAGCCTCTTTCCTTGCCTTCACTTCCCCTCTAATCTGTGCCCCCACCTTCTCCCTTCTCCCTGCAGCTGAACAGTCCTACAAAAATGTAAATCCTGTCTCTCCCTGCTTAAACCCTTCACTGGCTCACATTTCTCTTAGAATAAAGACTAAATCCCCTACGGGCCCCTGCTTGGACCAACCCCAGCCCATCTCATATATGCCTTCTCCTCTTGCTTTCTCTGTTCCAGCTTCCTCTGCCTTCCTCTCTGTTCCTCTAACAAGAGATGTTCTTGTGCACCTCAGGGCCTTTGCACATGCTATTCACGCTGCCTTAGAACACTTTTCCTCCTGGCGTTCATATGACTACTTCCTTCTTATCCTTCAGATTTCACCTGACCTGAGCCTTTTCCTTACCGCCCTACTTAATATCTCCCACCCCAATTATTAGTAAACACAGCACCCCACTCACTGAACTTATCACAGTTTGTACTTACATATTTCTTTCTTTCTTTCTTTCTTTTGAGGAAGATTAGCCCTGAGCTAACATCTGCTGCCAATCCTCCTCTTTTTTTTGCTGAGGTAGACTGGCCCTGAGCTAACATCCGTGCCCATCTTCCTCTACTTTATATGTGGGACGCCAACCACAGCATGGCTTGCCAAGCAGTGCCATGTCTGTACCTGGGATCCGAACCAGCGAACCCCGGGCCCCCGAAGCGGAACATGCAAACTTAACTGCTGCGCCACCGGGCCAGCCCCTACATATTTATTTCTTTGTTTATTTGTTCATGGCCTTCCTCCCCCACTGCAGAGTAGAAGAGCCAGGGGATTTAAGTCAGTCTACAGACAGACGTGCCATGACATTATTTCCTTGATGCTCCATTCTGCTGAGGCAGTTGGAAACGAGTTGAACTTCAATCCTCCTGAGGTTGGGCCACAATTCTAGGATATTCAGCAGGGCCAGATGTGCTGGGGGGGCAGGTAGGAGGCTGAGGGGAGGAGAAGTTGGAGAGCATGCAGCACTCAGGCCAGAATGGTCACTGTTGAGACATCAGCATCCTGTCTCAGTGGCCGTTTGGTCCTGGGGCTTGCACTGTGTCTGCTTCAAGTGTGGGACTGGGAAATATTTTGCAGCTTGCCTGTGGCCCTACCTGCCTGGTAGACCCATGAGCCATTCCTCTCTGGGGACCCTGCCAAGAAACAGGTGGCAGACCCCCCTCCCGTTCTTGGCCAAGATGGTTGTCTCAGCTGAGGTATTCCTTCCCCTGGGGGCTTCGGCTTTTGAAACACAGAAACCAGCTTTTCTACTCTTAGGTCTGCCACACGCTTCCCCGGGGGCAGAACCCAGAACACGGAAAAATAGGAAACTGCAGGAAGGAACAGACTAGATTAGCATGGAAATACATTATACGTTTGGAAAAGATCATGCTGAATACCATGCAGGGAAATGACCGAAGGGGCCAAACTGGGCGAGTCCAGGGAGGCGGTGGAACGCAAGGGAGAGATGGGGCAGCGGAGATGGAAAGTGGATGGATGTGAGAGCTATTTGGGAGATAATCATCAGAACCAGGTGAGGGAGTGGATGGGGGTGGGGGAGGAAGGCAGAAGGAGGTGTCGGAACAACTCCAAAGAGTCTGCCTTGGGATAGAGAAGGCTTCGCCATGGCACCCGCTGTTCCCACTTCTGGAACACCCTCCTCCGCTGTAACCCCTCCACCTGGCCCACTCCTACTCATCCTTCAGATCTCCATTCAACGTCACTCCTGCAGAGCCACCTTACCTGACCCCAGGGCCCGTCAGATTCCTGGGTTTTATGCTCTCACTCTCCTTTGCATATTTACTGGGCGTGTGAGTACACATCCGTTAGCATCTTCCCCACTAGACTGTCAGGTCTTGAGTTGATCTGGGCTCACCCTTGCATCCCAGTGCCTGGCACATAGTAGGTCCTCAATGAATGAAGGCTCCAAAATGCAGGCAGAGGAGGCTAGAGTGTATTCTGAACGCTGGTGTTTCTCAAGGGGAATGGAAGTTGCTGGGGTGCAAAATACATAGACTCCCCGCACCACCTCTGCTCCAAAAGAGATGCCCTCACTCCGCCTACTTTAAGAATCTGTGCGTGTGTGATGAGACTGTTGCTGGGGGTACAGTGGCTGGGCACAGGAGTCTGAAAGGAGAAAAGCTGAACAGAGTTGCTGTTAGCAGGGCCTGTGGGGGTTTCTGGAGCAGAGGAGTGGGAGACGAAAGCAGGAGATGGAGAACCCGTGGGCCTGTGGGGAAGCTCGGAGGCAGGAGGTGCGGGTGGGGCCCGGAGGTGGCAGAGAGGCCCCCAGAGGTGTTCTTTACACCAGAGCTAGGGGATCAGCATGCAGACCCGCCTTCTATCAATGGTCCCCAGAGGCCTCCCCAGCTGCTCTGAAAAAAATAAATATGATCCACTGTTGTATGGTTCACAAGTTTATTGTTTTGTTCATGGCTATGTCTAGAAAGGCACACAGTAGAGGCTCCCAAAAGTATCTGTTGATCATTGAAGGAAAAATCGAATGTTCTCAAAGTACTCAGGGAGTCTGGGGAGGCAATGGGATTACCATTCCCACGTGGGACAGGCTGCTGCGGGATTAAACAAGATAACGTATATGAAAGTCCTGGCAGCTTAATAAACTCAGGTTCAAAATCTGAGAAGAGAGAAGCGGGGCTGGGCGTTAGGGAGATGGGAGGGGAAGAGGCTGGTGGGAGTCACACAGGGGCTCCCCTAAACCTCCAAGGGTCTTCCGGGAGCTGGATCCGCCTCAGCACTATTGACACCCCTGCCCCACCCGGCCAGCTGGCAGGAATTTGCCCCATGACCTCCCCAGGCGCCCTCCTGTCACCATGGAGACCAACAGCGGAACAAGCAGCCTGATTGTCCCTGCTCAGCGGGGCAGGTGAAACCCTGGCCACGTGACCGATACTGGGCCAGGTGCAGTTATGGGACACCCGCCGCCTCCCAGCCTTAACCCATTCCATGCCACAGCCACCCGGGCTGGCCGCAGTGTCCCTGCCGCCTCGGGCCGCTCCCCTTGGGTGGGACGAAACACACGGAGCACTGCTCTAGGAGTCACAGCGGCCAGGAAGGAGTTCGGACTGGGCTGTGCACGGGCTGAGTGATTTGGGGCTGACCTACTTTGCCTCCCGCGTCCCCATTTTCTCCCCAGTAAAATGAGGATGACACCCTCCCACTCACAGGGAGGTCGGGACTGCTGGGAACATGGACGTGCAAGTGTAGATGTGACCTCCTCAAGGACGTAGCGCGTACTCCGTTTGCACCCCGTTTCTCCCCCATCACCTCAGCCTACCAGGGGCTCCAGGAGACCACTCCTCCAGCAGCTTCACATCCCCCATGAGTGACAGCAAGTCCACTGGCCAGGTCCTAACATGTTGGGGAGGGGTGGGTAGCCCCAGGTTGACCCCTCCCCAACACACCATTTCCCGAGTCCTTCCCAGGCAGCAACAACCCGTCTCCTGGCCCCTTTGCTTTCTTTGGAGTGTTCAAGTGGAAACCTCAAGCCGACTGGTTTTTCTGCTTGCCAGCGAGGCCCTAACCAGCCATGTGACAGGGCTGGGGCCCAGGACTCAGGGATGTCTCAAGGCCCTTTCTGCCCCTAGACCCAGGGCTCTGGCTCCCAGCAGATGGTCAAGGGTCCTGGGCCAGACTAGGCTGGGGTGGGGGTGGAGGACAGTTGGAAACCACCTTTGAAATACCACCCTTCTGAATCACCAACATTATGTCACTTCCCTTCCCTTTCAGTCTCAAACTCTAGAAAAACACCCTGCTTCATCATCTCCTCCAAGGACCCCTCCCAGGCCTGGGACCACTCCCCATCTGGGGCTCAGATGCCCTCATCATTCCCCTAATGACTATGCTGGCAAGAAATGATCACAGCACCTGGTGTGTTTAGAGTCCCCAGTGACCTCAAAGCCCTCCTCTCATTAGGAGAAAACACCTGCCAGTCCCCAGGCTGACTCAAGACGGGGGCCATTTATTAGGTAAGGCATTTACCAGCTAGAGTTAGGATGCATCCTACTGGTCCTTACTCCATCAGGCCTGCCCTAAAGAGGTTGGGGAGAGGCCGGGGTAACCCTGGCTAGCCCAGGGGTCATCTCCTGGAGGGGGCACTGACCCAGCCACCAGCTGAACCTTCACCTGAGCCTCAGCTCATGCCCTGAATCTCTCCAGGACCATTCAATAAAATTACTATTGCACTTTGCAACAGATAAACCAAACGACTCCAGTCCTGCAGGAGCCCCCAGCCCATGGTGGACACAGAGAAGGCCGGTTCCATAATACTGTACAGTAGACTCTGACAAATGCTTTGAGGACATGGGGTGGATGAGATTCGTTTCAACTAGGGAAATCTGGGAAGGCTTGAGGAGGTGGCAGTTGTCCGGGACCTTAAAAGATGTATAGGACTTGGACAGCTGGCTATCTGAGGGGCAGACACAACGTCCCAGCAGGGGGAGTTGTGGGGTAAAGATCTAAAGGGAGGTGCACAGTGTCATCCTTGGGGTGCCCGGTTGGGGAGTAAAAGAATGTGGAGCATAGGTAGGAAGGCAGGTAGGATCAGACTGGGAGAAGCTTGGGATGCTGTGAAGTTTCAACTCTCAACTTTACAGAAGGGGAGTCCCTGAAGGTCTCTGAGCAGAAGTATGCTGCAGCAAGAGCAGGTACTCTTGCAGCTGCTGAAGGATGTACTGCAGTGGAAGCCAGCTGAGACCTGAGCTAATGCCACTGCGGCCACCACTACTCTAGACTGGGGAGAAAAGATAAAGATGGCAACAGGTCAGGGCTCCTGAGGGAGGCGATTTCCCTGCAGACTGTGCTGAGTTCTATGGGTGGGAGGATTGTTTATTTCTCTGCTGGTAAATGGGGGTGGGGGTGGGGGTGGGGGTGGGTGACGGGAGCATATCTGAGGTATTTCAGCTCAGCGCAATCAACGCCCTCTCTAGGACAAATACCTGGCCTCCCCCCTTGACCACATCAGGAATGACAAACCAGACAGAGGTTCTGCTTCTGCCTCCTGTACAAGTCATTGGCTTCAGTTTCCCCCTCTATACAGGACGCGAGTGGAGAGTAGTTGCAGATGACCTCTAGAGCCCCTCCTAGCTCTTTCTAGAGTCGACGACTTCAAGATGGGTAAGACGTACTCCCACCGGCCTGCCTGGGCCCCGGGCTGTGGAGCACGGCGCCTCCAAGCTGGCGCCCTGACGACGAGAGCCACTCCTGACGCCTCTCGCCCGCGGCCGCCAGCGGCACGGAAAGTATGGCACGCACCCAGGGTGGTGCGTGAGGGCAGAGGAGCAGGCCAGGAGCGCGGCCGGGCATGGGCCGAGGCAGGGCCTTCTCGGCTTGCCATGGACCTGCCCCGCTGCAGCCCAGACCTCACGCCCCAAACCCAGGACATCCAGAGCGGCGGAGACCGGATTCCCAGACCGCAGGGCCCGTACACGCTGCGAGGAGGCTGCGCGGGGAAGGGCTGGGCGGAGCTCCGCAGGGGCGGGGACAGGTGATTGGGTGGCACCGCCAGGGGCGTGGCCAGGGGCGGTGCTCCCGCCTGCCGGCGCGTTGGCTGCGGGGATTACGTAAGGGGCGGAGCTGGGGTACGGAAACACACTCTTCTCTGGGATTACGTAAGGAAACGCGAGCGAAGGAGAGGAATCCCGCGATAGGAGGCGGAGAGAACGGAGCTCCAGTCGGAAGTGGGCGGGGCTCTGAGCGAAGGCGGGAGGTGGAACGAGCGCGCCGGCCCAGGTGCGCTTCGGACGGCGGTTCTGGAGCATGCTCTGCTGGGCCCGCGCCTGGGGGCTCCCCCGTAGGGGCCTCCGTCCCTGCAGTCCCAGCTTCTCCACGGGGCCCGTCGCACCCAGCAGCAGCGGCCGAGGCGGCGCCGAGCCGAGGTCAGTCAAGGGCACCCGGTGGGAGACGGTCCTTCGCTCCTCCCCCTCCAGTCCGGCCCCGACGGCCCCGCCCCCTCCCTTAGGCCCGCCCCCCCGGCCCCTCCCCCAAACCCCTTCCCCAGCCTGCTCAGACCCTTCCCCCATCCTTGCTCCTCCCGACAGGTCGGTGCCTCTTTCCTACAAGCTTTTGGATGGGGAGGCGGCCCGCCCGGCCCTCGTCTTTCTGCACGGACTCTTCGGCTGCAAAACCAACTTCAACTCTATCGCTAAGGCCCTGGCCCAGCAGACAGGCCGGAGGGTGAGCTTCCGGGAGAGGTGGGGTCCCGCGGGAGGCGGGGACTGGGCGGGCGAGGCCAGTTTCTCTGCCCTCGCTGCTGGGCTCCAGCTGAGGAGTGGCGTGTCTCTCTGGGCAGACATGAAAGGACAGGTTGGCCATCTGAGGATATGGGCTGCAGGGCAGACCCAGGCCCTAGATGGACCCCATTCTTTCCCTCGTGCTTGCATTCATCCAGTCCTTCGTTCGTGTTGTAGATTTCCATCTGTGGGGTCCACTCTGGGCTAGGCTCAGCTGTCCAATGCCTAAGCAACAACACCCTCCCTGCCAAGGGGCTAGCAGCTACTCGTTCACCAGGGACGGCAGGGGGCGTATACCTCTTACAGCAGCCCATCCTTCTGTGCTCCAACCCTTGTAATTCTTGGCGTCTCTTCTTTCTGGGGTTGCCACTCAGCCAGGCCAGACCTTCAGAAAAGATGTCACACTCTTTGGTTCTTCTCCTCTTTGGCAGAGTGGCTCCAGGTTCTTCATCTGGGCTTCCTAGGCCTGGGAACAAGGCCCTCTCACCCTCTGGGCCCTTCTTCCACTTCAGGATCTTTCCCCAGGTTCTCCACCCTTCAACCTGCAAGTCTCCCAGGCCTTTGACTGTCTGTGCCCCAAATATGGATGCCAGCGCTGCCTCCTTCTCACCCCACTTCCCAGGTGCTGACAGTGGATGCTCGTAACCATGGTGACAGCCCCCACAGCCCAGACGTGAGCTACGAGGCCATGAGCCAGGACCTGCAGGACCTCCTGCCCCAGCTGGACCTAGTGCCCTGTGTCCTCATTGGCCACAGCATGGGAGGCAAGACAGCTATGCTGCTGGCACTACAGAGGGTGAGCTGTCCCTCTCTGGGGCATCCTCCCATCCACTGTAGAGCCTGAGTGCCCAGCAGTCAACCTGGGACCCAAGCCTTGAATGGCCAAGTTCAGGATCCGGGAACTATGCCTGAGACCCGTTGTACCTGCCCTAAGGCTGGTCCCCAGTCCAGTTCTCTCCCGCAGCCAGAGCTAGTGGAACGCCTGATTGCTGTGGACATCAGCCCCGTGGAGACCACATCTAGCTCAGACTTCTCAACCTACATGGCAGCCATGAGGGCCATCAGTATCCCCGACAAGGTGTCCCGCTCCTCTGCCCGCAAACTGGCCGATGAGCAGCTCAGCCCTGTCGTCCAGGTGATGCACCCAAACCCTTGGATAGTGTTGTGAGCCGGGACCCGTTAAGGGAAGAGTGGCAGCCCCAGGCCTCACAAGGAGCACCTCCCAACTGCCAGACCCTCCACAGGACATGGCTGTGCGGCAGTTCCTGCTCACCAACCTGGTGGAGGTAGACGGGCGCTTCGTGTGGAGGGTGAACTTGGATGCCTTGGCCCAGCATGTGGACAAGATCATGGCCTTCCCACCACGACAAGAATCCTACCCTGGGCCAACCCTCTTCCTCCTCGGTGGAAACTCTCAATATGTGCCGTAAGCCAGACTGGGTGGCGGGAGGGCCATGCCTTACTTCTCAGTCCCCAGCCCCTCCGCCTGGGGAGCCTGCCTCCAGGAGGACTTGGGCGTGGGCAGGGGGCGCCTGAGAGCCAGAAGCAGCACTGGGCAGGTGGGGTCATGTGACTCTCCATCTCTCCCTGCTCTGCCTCCTCTCTTTCTCTCCCCATCTTCCCTTTTTCACCCCTTCTGGGCGACGTTCTCTTCGGTGGACAGTCCCAGCCACCACCCTGAGATTAGGCGGCTCTTCCCTCGGGCCCAGATGCAGACCGTGCCTAATGCTGGCCACTGGATCCACGCCGACCGCCCGCAGGACTTCCTGGCTGCCATTCGAGGCTTCCTGGCCTAAGAGTTGCTGGCCAAAGGGGACACAGAACCCCAGGCTTCAAGGCCCTGTCGTGTGCTCCACATTTCTGCACGGAAGAACTCAGGCGGGCACTGAGGGCATGAGGGTACAGAGGGTCAGACCTCAAGCTTTAATGAATAAAGACACTGTTCCCAAGGTCCTGGGCTGAGCTCGCTCACCGCCATCGTCCCCACCGACCCAGGGGGAATCGGACCCGCGGGGCCCTGGCAGTTCCGGGGTCCACGGGGTCTCCCAGAGTGCCCCTGGACTCTCTCTGCAGCTGACTCTCGACCCGCTGCCTCACCAGCTGCTGCATGTCCTCCTGAGGGCAGGAGAGCTGATTCAGGGCCCACTCGGTGCCCTTCTCCCCCTGCCTCCCAGGCCCGGCCAGCCTTCCCACCCTACCTCCCAGGCCTCCACCTCCTGCCTCAGTCTCAGTTTCTCCTCCAGGACCTCCAGCAGCTGGGCCTCCACAGCTCGCAACTTAGCTCTGCATGTGTCCAGCTCAGCCTCCACTGCCCGCTTCCTGCAGACGACAGGGAGAGCAGCCTGAGGCTCAGGCCCTGCCGATCTGGTTCTGGGCCCTGGGGCTGAGCAAGTATGGCCACAGCCTCTACCTTGTGACAGGGTAGGTGTTGATGTGGCTTTTCTCCTGGAATACCTGACTTCCCCCCTCCCCTCCTCTCGCAGGACTGAGCCCTGAGGGTGAGCCGCCCACTGCTCTCCCACCCCTGCAGGCAGCTGCCTCTCACTTGGCAATGGCTTCATCCCGCTCCTGGAGGACTTGGTCCAGCGAGGGCTCTGTCTGGGTGTCCCCCAGTGCTCCAGCCGCTTGGGATTCTGGGGTCTGGTTGGGTGACAGAGGAGGGAGCCGTGATCTGGGATGAGGCCCCACCCTGGGACCTTCCACCCTGGCCTTGGTCCTGATGCTGATGTCAGGAGTGGGGGGGGTCTGGGACGTTCTGCACCCTCCCCCCAGTGCCCCAGTCTCGTGGACCTCGGAAGTAGAGCAGACTTCCAGACTGGACTGCCATGCCGAGGGGGAGGTGTTTGGACCCCCCCAGCGGGGAAAGGAGTTCTCACCTGATCCCCAGGAAAGAGACAAGGTGGGTTCAGAAGGACACTTACCTCTCGACGGCCCCAGACAGGTTGGCCTGGTGACTGGGACTCTTGTCAGCGGGGTGTGGCAGACAGAGGACAGGGCCCTTTGCCCTCCCTTCCGGGTAAGGCACTCCCGGTCAGGCCCCGCCCCCAGCAGGCCAGCCAGGCCCCTGCCTTCTCTTCTGGATCCTGGAGCTCTGGCCAGACCCGGAGCTCCTCAGCCCCTTCCTGTCCAGTCACATACATCCCTCACCCCAAGGGGGCGCTCTACCCACATCAGGAGATGAGAAAGGAGGAAAAGAGCCAGGACTGCTCCCATGCTGGGACACAGGTGTCCCAGACCCCCATCCTGAAGAGCTGGCATCTTGGAACCCTGAATGGCATCACCCACACATATAACTACAACCTTAGTTCAGAAAATTAAAGGAAAAAAGTTTCATCATTCCTGGCAAATTCTTCCTGACATCTTGAATGTCCATCCTCCCTAGCAATATGGCTCATTATTCCTCCAACATTCCCAACGTTCTGATCCTTGAGCGTGGATGGGTCCACTGTGCTCTGGGGGTGGGGGCATGGGTCTGGGTATCCCACACGTCCCTTATGGTGACTGTTGAGCACACCACTGACATCTAAGATGTAAGAGGGAATTTCCTCCATTGAGAGGCCTCTTTAGCAAGGTTACTTCTCGAGGATCAGGTCCTCAGGTCAGCCCTAAACAGTAAATACTTTCTCCAAGACCCCCCAGGAAACCCCCTGCAGACCTGACTCCTGGTTGTTGTGGGTCCCACCCAGCCAGGTGTGCCTACAACAGCCAGACTCCACCGTTTGTTTGGTTGAACCCTAGGTGAAGAGGTGGGGTTGAGCTGTGCCCCCAAAGACACTGCTGTTGTGGAGGAGATTCACTGTGTTTCCAGAGACTGCTCTGCGCGATCCAGGCAGGACCCCCGGTCTAAGGGACCTCCAGGGCGAGCAGAGATAAAGCACAGATACAGTCAGAAAAGAGAGTCAGAGGCCTGGGGCAGTGGGGGCACAAAGGAGGCCCCCCGTGCCCAGACAGTCCCAGGAGTTCCGCAGGAGCTTGTCCAGAATGCGTCCTGCAGGCTGGTGGGAGTCAGCCGGAAGCAGCGAGGCATTTCGTTTATTTTAACTTTTCATTTGGAAACAACTTCAAATTGCTCTTCAGTGTCCTTTTAGGGTAAAAGAAAAAAAATCTAATATGGTACCAAGCATTGTACCCAGTTGTCACATCTCTCTGGTCTCCCTCAATCTGGAACAATTTGCAGCCTTACTTTGAATTCATGACCTTGACATTTTTGAAGACTACAGGGAAGTTATTTTGTAGACTGTCCTTCAGTTGGGGTTTGTCTAATCTTTCCTCATGATTAGACCTCTATTAGACATTTTGGGCAGAAATATCACAGAAATGGGGCTGTGTTCTTGTATCCAGTATCATTTGGAACCATGACCAGTGGTATTAATGTTGATCACTTGATCATGATTAATAAGTATTGGGGAACGGAGGTACTTTGAAGCTATGAAACATCCTTTCCTTCATCCGACTTTCACCCATAGGTTTCAGCATCTGTTGATGTTTTCTTGCCCAAATTAATTATTACTACAATGGTTCACAAATGGTGATTTTGTTTTCTTTTTTCTTTTTTTTTCTTTTTTTGCTTTTTCTCCCCAAATACCCCCAGTACACAGTTGCAGGGTTTTTTTTAGTTGTGGGTCCTAGTTGTGGCATGTGGGACACCGCCTCAGCATGGCCTGACGAGCAGTGCCATGTCTGTGCCCAGGATCCAAACCGGTGAAACCCTGGACACCAAAGCAGAGCCTGCGAACTTAACCACCGTACCTCGGGGCCATCCCCAGACAAATGGCGATTTTCTAATTTCATCATTCCTTTTACATTTATTATATGGCATTCTATTGTAAAGAACTTTCTCTTCATCTCCATTTATTTATATCAGATGGACTTGTGGTTTCCTGTTTCATTCAATGGATCATAACCCATTCCTATCATTTATTTCGATGCTCCCACTGTCCCAGGTTTGGTCACTGGGTGCCCCTTGCTGACCTCTTGTGTTGATATGTGCCATCACTCTTTCAACACTTCCTTTCCTTCTAGCTCCACAAGATATTCCAGGGTCGTCTTGTTTTTCCCTGCCCCAGCCCTGGAATTAGCCATTTCTGCAAGAATATCTGGTTCTTTTTGGTGGAGAATGGTATTTAGAAACAAAGATCTGGGTGTCAGCTGTGCTCATTGCAATTAGAGTAATCTGTATGCCCAGGCCCGCTCAGCAGACACACATTTTTACACATACGTAAACACATTTACATCTATGTTTATTTCTTTTTCTGTGTGGTGGTTAATTTTACTTGTCAACTTGACTGGGTCACAGGGTGCCAAGATAGGTGGTTAAACATTTCTGAGTGTGTCTGTGAGGGTGTTTCTGGAAGAGAGTAGCATTTGACTTGGTGACCTGAGTAAAGCAGATGGCCCTCCCTGATGTGGGTGGGCATCCTCCAATCTGTTAAGGGCCCAAATAGAACAAAAAGGCAGAGGAAGGTTGAATTCTCTTCTCTTCCAGACAGCTTGAGCTGGGATATCAGTCTTCTGCCCTCCACCTGGGACTTGCACCATTGGTGCTCCTGGTTCTCATGCCTTCGGACTCAGACTGGACTACACCGTGGCTTTCTAAATCTCCAGCTTGCAGACAGCAGACTGTGGGACTTCTCAGCCTCCATAATCACATGAGTCAATGCCTCATAATACATGTTTTTCTCAATGTTTATCCTGTTGGTTCTGGTTCTAATAGAACTTATACATATTGAAAAAAAGTTTATATTTAATCCTGAATTCCAGTCCAATGGCACAGGGTTCATCCTAGCCTTCCTCCATTCCATATTTTACCCCCCTCCCCAATGTCGTCAATATATTTCATAATTTGTTCAGTCTCCCTGTATGTAGCTAGTCCCCCCAAAACCTCTGGGCTCTCCCTGATATAGATGCCCCCATTGTGTGGGCGTGGCTCCTGCAGGGCTGCCCTCCCACCCAACTCCAGCGCCATCCTCGGGCACGGCCCTGCCTGCCGCTGGGCTGTCGAACATTCCTAGGAGCGTCACATTCATTCATTCGTTCCACAGATACTTACTGGGCACCTGCTGTGTTCCGGGCATGTTTCCAGGTGAGGGACATTAAGAGGAAGACGGACGAAATGCCCTGACCTCACGGAGCTCGCCCTCTAGGGAAGGGAGGGAGGCCAGATGGTAGGAGGTGCTGTGGAGGAGGAGAAAGCGGGGAAGGAGAATGAGGAAGGGCCAGGGCATTGCTATTTTATATAATTCTCTGCTCCCCTAAGGAGATCACATACTAACCTACCACTTAGATGAAAAATAACCGTTCTCATGACTTGGAATAATATTTCCAGCAACAGCGTCATTCGTGGATTCAAAAAGTTTTGTATTTCTAAGCAGAAGTGAAGATGACGTATTCGAGAAAACTGCATTAGGGGGCTCACAGGAGGTGCTAGGGATGACACGTGACAATGAGAGGCAGAAATGCAAGTGAAGGGTTGGAATACACTTGCACACGCCGTGAGAGTGGAAAAGAATTGTTTTGAAGTAGTTATTCCAAAAATGTGATTTTAAATGTTTAAATGCTATGTGTTTTAACTAAATGTTCTAAGTAGGGAGTTGATAACCTCACATGTAGCCCTAAAAGTTTAAATTAGAATTTGGGGCCAAATTTATTTTCTTTTAATCTTCTCACTGGGGAAGGGAGGAAATAAGCTTATATTCAGGCATATAGCGAATTCCATCACAAGGCTGTGCCTCAGACATCGCACGCCGAGCAGTCAGACTCATTCCTCAGCTGCCCACATCTCCCTCCTCCCCACTGCCTGGGCTGGCCGAGCCCTCACCTCAGGGCGGAGCTGGAAGATAGTTACAGGTTGGGGTGGGGGGGCGCCAAGAGAGGGAAGGAGCTGCCAGCAGGATGGCGGGCTGGGCTTTGTGGGCAAAACAGCTGGGATCTGCAGGGCTGGGGGGCTTACAAACCGTGTCACCCAACCCTCCTGACCTGGTGTGTGTTTATCTCCCTAAGCCTCATCGTCCCCATCTATGAAGTGGAACTAATGCAGGGCCTCCCTGATAGGGTGAAACGAGGCGAGGCCCCTCACTTTGTACAATAATGGGCCGGGTCAGACCTCCCAGGAGTGGAGAAAGAATAAGCCTGCCAGACCCAAGAAACAACAACAGAACTTCGCACACACACGCACACACACACATACACACTCTCCCCCCCAGCCACGGAGCCTGGGTCAGCTGCCCTTCCTGCTCTGCACCCCCACAACTCTGCCCCCAGGACAGCTCTGTTCCTGAATCTCACACAGCTGCCTCCTCTTCCTCCTCCAGAGCTCTACAGCCCCTCCACTTCCCCATCATTCTCTTGTCGCTGTCAAGGTGTCTCCCCCACCAGCCTGAGGCTGCTGGAGGACACGTGGTGACTGTCCTCCCAACCTAGGCACTCAGGTGCTCAGCAGTGACGACGTCCTGGAGGCAACACCGGCCTTGCCCAGCAGGTGGCAGCAGTTCCCAATACCAGGCCTCTGGGCAAGAGGCACCCCCCCACCCGCCCGCCTGTGGGATGGAAACCCCAGACCACACCCAGGGGCTGTGGGAGCCCCAGATGCCCAGCCTTTCCCTCAGTCCTCCTTTATAGGACACTGCTCAGTCATGCCTGCACGTGTTTATCGCTCACTCCACAAACACACTTTCTGTGCCAGCCTTGGGAAATCAGCAAGAACATGACCCTGTTCCTTCCCTTGAGATGTGCCCATCCAATTGGGGGAAAGATGCCTCACACAGACTGTGTCCACACAGGACAATAAGTGCTACAATTGGGATAAATACAAGTCTTTGTGGGGCCACACAGAAGGAGCCCAAAACTAGGCAGTCAGGGACACGATGTCCAGGTGCACAGGAGGAAGAGGGAACTGGGGGAGAGTGTGCCAGGCCTGAGAGGAGGGTGTGGAGTGGGCGTTATTGGGAGGGTTGCGGCCTCCAAGAGGTGAGGCGGGGCCAGACCGCAGAGGACATGGAAAGCCATATTAGGGTATCAGGATTGCCCCCAGGGCAATAGGGAAATCTCACGGCCCTGAACAAGTGTGCAGGGGTGCAGAATGCCAATATTGGGGCTTAGAGATGCCCCTGGGACTAGAGTGGGGACAGGGCTTTACAGAGCATTGGTCTGGACTGAATGTCCATCAATAATCCACAGTAAAGAATGTGGTGGGAGTGACTTCTGTTATGGGGACTGCCTGGTTCCCCCGGGGAGGAAGCCCTGCTCTCTCTCTATCCCTGTCCCTGTTCACACCCCTGGTCCAGAATGCCTTTCCCCAACTCTCCACCTGGCCACCTCCTACTCATCCGGTAAGCCCCAATTCAAATGCCCTGCCTCTGCGAGTGGTCCTGATCCCAGGGAGTAGGCTGCCCTGGGGACCCATGGTATCTTGTGCAGCAGTTTCTCTTTTTTTTTTTTAAGGATTGGCACCTGGGCTAACAACTGTTGCCAACCTTTTTTTTTTTTTCTGCTTTATCTCCCCAAACCCCCCCTGTACACAGTTGTATATCTTAGTTGCGCGTCCTTCTAGTTGTGGGATGTGGGACGCCACCTCAACGTGGCCTGACGAGCGGTGCCATGTCCGCGCCCAGGTCCGAACCCTGGGCCGCCACAGTGGAGCGCGCGAACTTAACCACTCAGCCACGGAGCCGGCCCCTGTGCAGCAGTTTCTATTCTAGCCCCCACCATGTTTCTGCCTCCTCCATCTCTGCCTGTCCGTCACCTGTCAGGGAACATTCCAGTTCTATCTTCAGCCCTTGTTTCTTCTTCCATAGAAACACACACACACAGACACACATGCACACACTCCCTGCACTGTGGCCCACAACTTTCATCTCCAGCCCAAGCCAGACTACTCCTTCCAGCCAGGCAGCCACGTTAACTGCTCGTTGACCATCTGCACGTCTCCCCTGGATGTGGGGCCAGGCCCCTTAAATGCTACCCGTCCAGGTCTGAACTCCTCCCCTGCCCGCCCCCACATTTGGGATCTGCTCCTCCTCCAGGTGACACTTACGCTCTTATCTGCACATGGTCAGTCACCAGGGCCTGTTGCTTCTAGTTTGTAATATCTGTCATGGTTTTACAACAAACATATTCTTTTCATAATTGAAATAAAGTATAGTATTATTAAATAAGTCTCTTGAATGCCTCTGACCCTTCTTTCCAGCCGGACGGGTCCTGCTTCTGTTCAGTCACAGTTTCTCAGGACACCACAGTGGCCGTCCAGCGTCCAGCTGTCCTCCATGCTGTGACAGAGGCAGCTTTAAGAACCGCCTATGCTGGCTGCTTCTGGCTGGAACTCTCCCAAGAATTCCAGACTCATAGAGGCAATGGCCTACTTGCCCTCCCACTGGGATGTCTGACGAGCAACTCAAACTTAATAGGCCCAAACCTGAAATGCTGATTTACCCCGCCCCCAAGCTGCTCCTCCTCCAGTCAGCTCCCACCTTTGCAAACGGCAGCCCCGTCCTTCCGGGTGTCCAGGTCAAAACCCAGACTCCACTC